ATTTTTTTAATTGACATATAGTTGATTTAACGCTATGATGCTAGTTTCAGGTGTGCAGCGGGGTTTTTTAATGATTCAGCATTTTTGCAGATTATACTCCCTTATAGGCTATTTTAAGATAATGGCTATAATTCCCTGTGCTATACAGTATATCCTTGTTGCTTATCTATTTTATATACAGCAGTTTGTATCTGTTAATCCCATACCCCTAATTTGTCCCTCCCTCTTCCCCCATCCTTTGGTAACCACAAGTTTCTTTTCAATATCTGTGAATCTGTTTCTGTTTTGCATATACATTTACTTGTATTATCTTTTAGATTCCATATGTAAGTGATATCCTATAGTATTGGTCTTTTTCTGACTTATTTTGCTAAGCATAATATTCTCTAGGTCCATCCATGTTGCTGCAAATGGCAGGATTTCGTTTTTTATTGGCTGAGTAATATTCCATTGTGTGTGTGTGTGTGTGTGTGTATCACATCTTTTTAATTCAATCATCTGTTGATGAGCACTTGGGTTGACTCCATGTTTTGGCTACTATAAACAGTCTGCTATGAATATTTGGGTGCATGTTTCTTCATTCATGCATTCATCCGTCATTCATTCTTGAGTATCCATATTGAGCCAGCGCTGTTCCAGTACTTGCACCGCATCAGTGAACCAAACAAAGACGCTTATCCCAGGGATTACATTCCAGGACAGAGCCAGACACAAACAATATGTATTCTAAATACATCATATGCAGATAACCCCTAGAGCACCAGAGCGAAGCATCTCAACACTGTCTCCACCACTCTACGTGCTAAGGCAGGCAGGACCCAAAGTGCTTAAAAAGAAAGAAAGGAAAAAACAAGACAACCATTTTTTGAGGTTTTTAGGGTAACAGAAAGAAAGAAGTTAATAAGTGTTATGGAGAGAGGTGATACAGTAAAGCCAGGTGGGAGGATCAGGAGCACTGGGGCTGGGACAAGGAAGTAGGCGTGATGCTTCCTGGGGACAGTTTTACAGGCCGAGGAAACAGCTTGTGCAAAGGCCCTTGAGTAGGAGTATGTTTAAAGAACACTGAGGAGGCCAGAGGGCCCTCCCAGAGGCTGACTGAATTGAAAGAGGGATGCGTTAGGGTGAGAAAGCAAAACAAATCAGACTGAAGATATATGCCTTAGAAAACACTTCGGCACAAGGAACAGACTGAAAGCAAAAAGGTCAGAAGTATTCTTGGTTTCTGAGGGGGCTGGATTCCCCAAGTAGCTACAAATCTTTAATGTTGGAAACTTCAAGCAACCTTCAGCACTCAAGCTTCCATAAGCCATACACGGATTGAGGAAGCCCCCAAAGAAAGGTATATGCCTCAACTTTCTCTTCAAATGTAGCCAAGGAAGACAATGGACAGAGAAGACTCTCCCAAGGGCCAAAGGGAAGAGTGGCCAAAGGTGAATTCCAAGAAATGCCCACTGGAGGAACTCCACCCACTCCCCCCGGGGTGGAGACTTTCTCCTTGTCTTCCTAATGGGATGTGGGAATGGCTATGGATAAACCAACTGGGGCATATTCTCATGATGGAAACTACTGGGAAATGAAAATAAAGGAACTCTTGACATACACAGCAATACGGATGCATCTCAGAAACATTATCTGGCAAGAAAAGCCAGATACAAAAGAATGCGTACTGTGATGAATCCATTTATACGACACTCTAGAACAAAGCTAACGGGCAACAACACAAAGCAGATCAGGCTTGCCTGGTTGGACGGAAGAGACTGACTACAAAGGGACACGAGGGAACACTTGGGGATAATGAAATGTTCTCTGTATTGATCGTGGTGGATGGAGTTTGCTTGGGTGTAAACAATTACCAAAACTCATTGGACTGTGCACTTAAGATCCACGATTATTACGTGTAAATGATACCTCAGTTAAAACAACAACAACAAAACAAAGAGGAAATGCAATGTCACTTATCACATGAAATTCCTAACCCTCAAAACCCTTCCCACATCCTTCACCCTCTACAGACTTTAATCTGGAGAGCTGGAGAGACCCAGACCAAAGTTGCCCTGGCCAGCGGCAAGGGCAGGAAAACCAACCTTAGTCTTAATTTTTCAACTCGCCTTGAACCTAATTGCTTTTCCATGTTCAGGTTAAGCGGCAATCTCTAATGTATTTTTGGTCATTAATTTAAACGTGATGCTTGACTTAACTGCAACGTTCACACTTTGATGTAAATCTCCCACATAGCACATTTATATTCTCCATTTAAGCTGCGCACAGGTGATTAGTGGGTTATCTCAGCCTGTGCGATGGGTCCAGGTCACTAACCTGAATCATCTGTCCTAGAAGCTGACCCACCTCTGCTGCTCCATTAAACCCCTTTGCTGTTGTTGTCACTTGTGTTGAGGTTTTTTTAACCTACCTTTTCTGCCTAAATTAAAAAAAAAAAGCAATCAGTCCAACACATTCACATGAGTTCCAGAGTGGGGACTTTATTTTGCCACATCAAATAATCATCTAGCTCCCATCCTAGGACAACTGCAAAGTATGTTTTTAGTATAGATATCTGGGTTTCAAACTAATAAGGAAAATGGCAGACAGTGATTTAAAGGAGTTTATAAAGTATGTGACAGCAACTTTGACATTCTCTTTCTTTGAGGTTAATAGTCATGATTAGTTTTATTTCACAAGTATGTGTTTGCAGACAGGCACCTGCAACCAAATTCCTACGAGCACAGGATAGACAAAGGTCACAGGAGTGGAGGGACCCTGAGCAGTGATGGTGGGAAGTGTCTGGAAGGGGGAAGGGCTCTCAAAGGAAAGAGAGAACACAAAATGACACCTACTTCATGTAAGGACATGGGATGTTGAAGAATTGGTAATTTCTAGTTCGTATCTGAATTTAGAGCATTTCTGGTCTTCCATCCCAGCCAGGATTTCCTAAAACTTTCTTTAAAATACCCAGAACCCAGACCCCAGCTTTGGCATCTCCAAGTTCAGACTGTAGGAGGTCCTAGTGGTTTCTTAAGCTGTGTTCCAGACCATGTCATTCTGATTTCTCCCCTCCTCCCCAGATTACAGCTGATTCGACAGGAACGAACACTTCAAAGCAAGCAGCCACCTCTAGCCTGACCAGGTAGGTAGCCTAGAATGAAAAGTCTCAGCTCAACAGGAATTTGAATTTCGAGGAGTTTGAATTTTAGATCGACGTGGAGATAGGGATAAAGGTAGAGATGATGGAGAGAGAGAGTAATGGAGAGTTCCTGAGAGGTACGTGAGCTGGAAGATGCATGTACCCCAAGGAGACAAAAAGCAACATGAGTGAACCAAAACTAGGGGTTAGTGGAAAGTCAATCGATGCAGTAGAGAGAGTCATAAGGAGGAGCTGGGGGGAGAGAGGAGAGGTTATCAGTCACCCTGGGAGTGGGGATAGACACCTGCCTGCTCAGAGCGGGGAATGATGCCTCCTAGTAGTGGTCCACTGGACTCTCTAGTCCCCAGACCTCAGCCCAGGATCCCCAGGATCCCCAGGGCTGCAGGCCTGGTCCACGAGATTTCTCACTCCTTACACCCGTCCGTGTTCTTACAGGAAGACCCCATCATTGATGAGACAGAAGTGGGCTCTTTCTCCCACGGAAGGATCTGAGGAGAAAGGGAAAATGATCCCCAGGCTGTGCAGACGGGTTTTCTGCAGGGCAACGTGGTCTCTTTGTCAGCAATGCAAAGCTTCTGCTGGATAAAATCTCCAAGCAAGAGCTTCCATATGTTTTATTCAAAAGAACGCCTCTTAGTCTTGGGGACATAACCGTCCCAACAGAAGTGAAAATGTTCTCAGATACATTATTCCTTTTGGTTATCATCTTCATTGAGAGGCCTGGGGGGCAAGAGAGAGCAGAGGTAATGAAGGTGCTTATCACAGTCACATGGCTCCCCACGACCCTAAGATGCTCAGAATCTGGAGGCGGCTGCTGGGGATAGCGGGGCAGGAGCCAAAGGAGTTTGGAAAAAGCTCCTGAGATCAGGCTTTTCTTAAACTTTAGTGAGCGTAAGAATCTCCTGTTAAGAATGCAGATTCTGTTCAGGGCGTCTGGGGCAGAGCCTGGTAAGATGCCGATGCCGCTGGTCTGGGGACCACACGTAGCAGAGGAGAGAGTGATAGGACCCTCGCTGCCTCAGCAGAGAAAAGCCACTCTCAGGGTAACATGTCATTAGTGCTCATTAAAATCCATGCATGAATCATGGCCTCCGAGGCTCTGAGAGCTATTCCATGTCACTTGGTAGGGAATGCAAATGAACCGGCTCTCAATCCTTTTAGTAAAGAGGAAAATACTTGAAAACTCATCCCTGAATTCCAAACCATTAAGAAACTGATGTTGGTCATTTTTTTTTTTTCTTAGCCAGTTTGTAACTTTTTGAGCTCAAAGAAAGGACAGGTTGAAGGGCTGGGCAGGAAAGTTGGGGTATAATCAAGAGACGATTCCAACTGGCAGACTTATTTCATGAATAAGATCTTAATGCTTTACAGTGAGGAAAAGAGGAACCAACCGGAACTAAGTTCATCGTATGGAAACAAGCCCCACTTCCGACCAGGCATTTAACACTTCAGCCCGTTCCCCTCACACGCGCTAATCAAACCTGTCTTTATAAAAACCACCCCAAGAGAAGGCGGGCTTCCTATTATAAGTGGGGAGACTTACTGCTTATTTTAAAAGACTCTTAAAAGCCTTGTGGTGCAGTTACCACGCTCACTGTCTAGAAGCAGGACATGGGGAGGGGACAGAGCATTCTACCCTGCTGACTGTATAAATGTGCACAAGGACTCATTCGGAGGTACATTTACAAGACCGCCACCCTTGAAAAAGGATGAGACTCAAGGACACTGAGAACTGGCTCAGAGTCAACCAGGACCCCTGCAGATGACTCTCGGTGGTCACCAGCCATCCACCCACCATTCCAAGTCCCGTGACCTTCCGTGACATAACCTGGGAAGCCACACAGGCCTTAGCCACTGCCTAGGGATTGCTAAGGGCTACAGCTGGTTTCCTGAAGGTGGTGAGAGCATCCTTGGGTTGGCTGCTGGCCAACAAGGTGGCCGACTGGCATTGCCCTTCAGGTGATGAGCACCGATCTTGGTCACCTGGGAGAGATGAGACATTTCCCCAATTACCCTACTGCCCTTGGGACTTCTTGCGTGGACACTGACCCTTTCTGGTTGGTCTGGGACTTTCCTGGTTTCAACAGAGAAAGTCCCATGTCCTGGGAAAACCTCCAGTTCCCGGCCAACCAGCGTGGTTGGTTTCTTCTCAGAAGAGTGAGGTCTGGGTGGTGAAGAACTTTATAAGAAGATATGAAACGAACAAAAAGCCCAAGGAAACCAGAAGGTAGAACTTTCCTGGATCCGAACAGTGATTTAGGAGTTGAGATTCATTCACAAGGATATCAAAGAAAAAGGTGTGGGAGGAGATGCTTGAGTGTGAAGACTGTCTAGGAAGCTTTTCCTATATCTGGCTGACTTGCAACCGGAGGTGATTATTTAATGATCTCCTTGCCTCCCCTCCAGCATTACTGAAATTCCAAAGGAGCCAAGAGGAGACGTGTCCCCTTGTGCTTGTGTAGTAGACAAGACCATAACTCCAATATTCTTCTCAAAACGAGGCCGATAGGGAAATTGTGTCAGAAGCACCAACGGATACAAACAGCCAGCATTCTTACTGAAACCACTTAATCAGGACACAAAACTTAGGATTCATTTTCTGCAACCAAGGGTGCCCCAAAGAACCAAATTCCCAACTATAAGCTAATACGAAATTTGATATTGAAAAAAGAGAGAGAGAAAAAATCTTGTTGGAAGTCCACATTGGACCAGTCACTCATTTGAAATGCTTAAAAATAACCAGGACCTAAAATCCTAACACCAAACCATAAGAAAGACAGAACAAGCCTGGTTTTGTGGACTCTGTCTTTGGGATCCCTTTCAACCAAGCAGGATTAATTCATGACCTAGGAGCTCCATGAGCTTATGTTTATTTATAATATTCAATATTCCCATAAGCACAAATGTTCCAAATGGAAGGTTGCATTTTGATAATGCCCGTTTCTTCATTAAGATTTCATCATCCACCTACATTAAAAAGCCTCTCCCTACACTCTGTTGCTTTTGCTTTCACCTTGTTTATTCCTGCCTTATTTGCTTAATCTTGAGATCCTGCCTTCCCAGGCACTCTCAAATTTGAAACAAGCAAAGTTTGTGCATTAGCGTGTCCTGGACATGCATGATTTATGAAAGGCAGGTTTCTTGGCACAATTTAATGGTATACGAGAGACTTTGTTTTAAAACATTAAAGTGAAAGTCAGGAAGTGGCAACAATGAGTGAGAGATTAGGACACAGAGTGTGCAAAGAAGTTTGGGCCAAGAGTTAACCAGGTCTGATTTGGGTCTATTTCTTAATCTACGGGCTGACACTCTGACCAGTTTAATAGATTATAAGGAGCCCTGACTTTTGACCAACTAAAGAAGTACTTTAAATTGCTTTTCTGACAACGTGCCCAACCAAACTCTCATTCTGTAAAAGAGAAACGTAATTGCAAACATTTATATCAATGGAAAAACGACCACCTTTGACCAGTCCAAAATAAATCTGTTTTCCCCTGTTTGGTATTCTAATCATATCTGAGCCATTTTCCACCATAATAGTTCTTCCTCTGACCTTTTGTAAGTTGAACTATTAGTCATTGTTACCAAATCTTTTAGAGAAAAGTCAAAACCTTCATAATATCAAGAGAACTACCCTTCCTGAGTAAAATTAGAGTCCAACTCTTATTATATGCCCATATAAAAGCTCGATATATATCTCTTTTTCTCAATACAGAATATGACCCATATGACCTCAAATGACATAAGTTTTGTTTAATAATTATAACTAAAATACACTCAGTAAGAAAAATAATAATTATCCCAAATGATACCTTATAGTTGAATGTTCCGAACACTTCACAGACAAACGAACAGACTAACCTTTCTTCACAGATGGCTAAATTGAAGTACTCATGAGATTATGAATCAGGTTCTCAAATTACAGCACGATACTTTTACATCTAAGTTTTTGACATATCCTACAATGATTGCTCATAAGTGTTTCCAGAAGACCCGAAAGGTTTCAAATCAATGTTAAGAAATGAGGATTGATAAAGCTCATGGCTTGAGCAAACTCAGACAGACAACTTGAAATTTTGCTTCCTACATCAGCCTTCCACAGCCTTTATGGTGGAAGCAACTCTGAAACACATTCAACCTTCTGGACACTTGTCCACTTCAGAGAACTCTGGCTAGAGCTCTAAGTGGCACAGGGACACAGTGGGTTGGTTGGTTACCTTGTAGATTCTGCAATGGCAGGGTCATAATGCCTCCGGCTGCAGCTGCTGCCACCAGCCCTTGGATGTTGGTGAGGTTCGCAGTAGGCAGTGTGAGGACCAGTCCTTGTTGCCCTCCTAGCTGTCCGGCCATGTTGAAGGGGATGAGGATGGGCTGGTTGAGGGCTGGCGTGCCTCCCGGCATTACACCGGTGACAGCAGAGGCTAACTGCTGTGCCGTCAGAAGCGACTGCAAGGAAACAGACAATCCCAGCTCACTTTCCAGTGGAACCAAGATGTGGACTTTCACAGCATTTTTCTTCCTCTTAAGCAGGGTCAGAAAGTTCCTGAACCAGTTGCACAGAAACGTGTTCTATTCCAGAAAAGAAGACTGACTTGTAGCAAAAAAAAAAAAAAAAAACAAAAAAAAACAAAACAAAAAGGGAAATTGTATTCTGTGAAATTTTGGGGAGAAAATTTCATTTGGTTTGGACTTCCTCTAAGGCACTTGAATGCCTTTCAAAGTAATACCCTACACTTACGTATTATTTTTCCAATGAATTTTCACTTGATCTGACTCTTATGTATTTGAAACTCTCTGCTAGTTTATTCTGTAGTTCCAGAAAGAACTCACCAAGAACAGTGGAAGTTTTTTGATTCAAAAATAGCAATGACATACTACTTTCATCTATTAAATTTGCAAAACAGTAATGTGAAGGGTTTACTCAATGCTGGTAAGTCTGTAGTGACAACATTATATGGATTTAGGACAAGTGCATTGTCATAAGCCTTTTGGAAAGCAGTTTGAAAACCCATACAAAGAGATTCCAAAATATTCATCCCCTTTTGACTCAATATATTCCTGGGATATAGCCTGAAGATGTAATTTTTTTTAAAGATTAATGAATGAAAGTACGCATTACATTTTAAAATACACAAATGTTGGAAAATAGTTTGTTACGGTACTGAACTTGGTAAAATATTGCATAGTGTTTAAAATGGATCATTCTGACACCTCTTTAGAAAAAATAGAAAATGCTTGAGAATATCTAAATTTAATTGGATAATAATTAAGCAAATGGTAATGGAGTCATTACCCAAATGGTAAAATGATACATATATAATGACAAGGTCTAAAAAGGAATATAGAAAAACATAAATACTTCCTGTGAGTAAATGTTAAAATCTTACATTTTTTCTTTTGTTATTATGCTAGCATTCTCTGCCTGGTTAAAACATCATTGAAAACACACGTTTTTGTCCACTCCTCATCCGATGGCCATTGTTTGACACGGAAAGGCAGCCGCAGAGGGATATCCTGGACGTATCTGAGCTCAGGTACGGGCTCTTCACCAGGACGATGTAGGAAGGAGTCCTGACCTGGCCAGGCCAGATGACCAAAGGGTCACCGATCTTAGAGTCCCCGAGCTGGCATTTTCACTACCACCCTGCGGGAGTCAGGTAAGACCTAATCCAACGCCCATTTTCCTTCTAGAGGAACCGAGACAAAACTCTCTTTGGGGAGTTTCAACTTTTGGGTTAATAACGCAGCAGGATTCTATGCAGTACTCAGCATACGCAGAGTACAAAGCCCACTGCACCACAGCCGAGCCCTGTTCTAACGTGTATGAACTCCGCCGTCCCACCAGTGACATACTGAGAGTTGGTAACTTGTCCAAGTCACATATCCGGGGGGCGGGGGTTTCAAGTCCAGCCAGGCTGCTCCAGAGCCCACGTTTCGCCCCTTCTTGTCACCCGCTCTCCACACACAGAACAGATTTGGAGAAGTGGGGCTGCGTTATTTGAAGGATGCGGGGGAGGGCTGAGCCCACTTTCTAGCCATTCCCTACGGTCAGCCCTCACGGCCGGTTGTCGCCCCTCAAGGCTGGGGAGCCCTGTGAAGAAGCCCTGGGATTCCATGCACCCTGCTTTTAGAACCACTGCCCTGGACTCTGTGGGCCGAGCTCCCGACGTATCTGCTAAACGTCACTAAACTCACACAAATAACTGTGCTTCCTTAAAAACAAAAGTTATACTAAAGAACAAAATAACCATTTTTTAGGAAGTACAAAATGATAAGCTGCTCCCCAGATTGCTGGTGTTACTTCGCTGCCAATAGTAACATCAGGATAAGAGGGGAAGGCAACGGGGCAGTTCTCACACTGCACACAGGCCACAGAGCTGGGGGTTGGGACTCGTGGCTTTTTTTTTTTAACTGCATTCATGAGCTTAAAGCAGGGCACGCACTCTCCAGTTTGTCCCAGGGCCCACTGCTTCTCACTGTCTGGGTCTGTCATGCAACTTTTCAAACCTGGAGGCGTTAAGTTTGTCATCCCTGGTATGTTCACAGATGCACACATACACACACGTGCACACAGACACACACGCGTACACACACAATGTCACAAGCATGAAATCAGACAGGGCGTGGCCGGAAGAAGCCGGTTTCTGTGATGCCCAGTAAAACCCTCTTTAGGTCCCACAGGAGATGAGGCGTCTCCCCAGGTCTGCCCAGCTCTCTGCCCCGAGCACAGAGGCATTCATGCTCTGAGATACCTGCTGGGATCTGAGGCCAGAGGGAGACGTGGCGGAGGCTGCAACAAGAAAGTCAAGACCAACCCAGACTCTAAACTTGGGTTTTCAAGCCTTGAAGTCATGAGCCCCAAAGTGCTCAAAGTGATTCATTTCCAGGGACAATGACAGCAAAAGAGACAGGCTCAAGAATCAGCTTCTTTTTCTATCAAAGCAGGTGAACTCTGCGAGTTTCACACTAAATGACAGAGGTTAAAAAAAAAAGGCTCAGTCTTTTATAATTGTGTTCTACATCTCCATATAACCATACCAGGCTCAGAAAAAGAAAACACAAATATTGGACTTTAAAAAATAATGAATGTATTTCTTTTTTAATGCAGGAGCTGTAGGTGATGTACAGTATTGTCAAACCCAATAAGCTGAACTTGCATTAAAATTGCATTAACTTTTTTATATTAAATCACCTCTTGTATTTCAGAAATGGCTATAGTAGGGTTGAAATAACTTAATTTCCTTCACACTGCAGTCATTAAAGTTTTACTTTGCCGAAAACTGCATGGTAACCAACAGCACAATTGCAGCGGGTTTTAACAAGAAAAAAAGAAAAGTTTCCAAATGATTAAGATCAACATTCCCTTTGAAAAGAGAGAAGAGTTCTGCTAACGCATTTTTTTGTCTTGACAGTATTTAATAAATAATGTAGTCACATAGCTTCTCATACTGAAATTTATCACCATCTTTGCTCTGTTGGAGTTAATTGCTTTTAACTCATTATTATTTATTTGGTTATTTATATAGTTAAACCATCCTCAGTGCAGCCTAAACACAGCAGTTGAGAGATACTGACCTGTGGCCCAACCGGGAACGGGGGGTGGGTCTGACTGGCCTGGTGTTGTTCAGGAGTGCCTGGCTCTGACAGTGCCGGGTTTCCTCTGGCCCCTGGAATTCAAAAGAGAAGTTCTCCCTTAATATAAGCTCCAGCCCGGGAACTGCACATGACCCCATTTTCCTGTGATGTCACATAACATTAAGGCACAGATGACATGCCAGAGTGCTTTATCAATAGCTCCGCTGCTCAAATCACTTGTCAACTGCATACATTATGCTAACGGACATTCGGGATGGACAAAGTCACTCCAGCAGGGAGAAGGCTGTGACGGCAGGGAAAGTGACACCGTCACCGGTCGCGCTAATAGGCTCGCATTGTACATCAGTTTGCATGGCGTGTGCCGATGCGTTGTCGCACGTGTGGGAAACTGCAACCTTTATGCCTAGGCGGGCAACGGCTAATCTCATTTCCCAAAGCCAGAGAAAGCGTGATCAGACATGACCAAGTACATCTATGTTATCCCTTAATATGGCTTCATACCCTTAAGCCCTGTCTCCATCCGTGCTTCAGACACTGAATGTTATGGATGTGTTTTCCAAAAAGCAAAGCCTTTTCCAGTGCCACCTTATGTCCTAAAAAGCACATGGGGACCCTTAAGCAAACTTCCTGGGTGCTAACTGAAACAGGAGGACCCCCACACCACCTCCAGGGATTCCCACGAGGGTGGGCAGAGGACTCAATGCCCTTCCTTTGCTAGAATCCTGTTGGACGCCAAAGCACGAAAAATGAAATCCCACCAAAACCCGCAAATCTTTGAAATCTTCTAAAACACGATAGTTTTTCTGTGTGTGTGTGTTTCTGTGTTTTGTTTTAGGACAACCCACAGAAGGTGAGAGAGTGGCAGTAACAATAAATACATAAACAAACAAACAAACATAAAGCTAGCAGCAATTTTCAGGGTTCTCAGTTGGTAGCTTTTGTTTTCTCGGTGGCTGAAATCCAATTCCAAGCCACCCTTAACGAGATCCTCTTTCCTGATGTTTGTCCTATGAATGGCAAGTGGGGGACAATTCAAACCGCGTTACTGGCAAGCCATGGACAACCAAGAAAAAAAGATACAATTCTGTCACACTTATAAATTTTAAAGAAGGCATTATTGGCTCATTTAAGACAAATTCTTCTATATATTCTCCAAAGGGACAGACTTATAAATAATGGAAATGTAGGAAAAAAAATACTTCAGCACATTAAGCTACAAATAAAATTGACTGCTACATATTATTCAATTGACTTCCATCTCCACAGCCGTGTGTCAATCATAACAGCATTTTATAATAGGATGAAACAATAAATGTGCAAAGCCATTATGCAGAAATCTGAAAATCTGATTAATTTGTAATATTTTGTGTGTGTGCAGAAAGTCAGGAATGGACATTGCTTGGGGAATACTTACAAGCATTCTATTGAAATTTCTAAATTGATTTGGAGCAAACTAATAAAAACACAGACTTGCTGACATTTTATAAAGTGAATTCTGTCAAAAGATGTTTGGCATTTTAATGATCGCTGTCATTTAATAACAAGGGTAAGATGACCCATCATAAGATGCCAACGATTTCCCCATCATGTGCAGGGGAGCTTTTTTCTAAATTTTCTAAGTGTGGTTTATTTATTATGCTTGAGTAACAGGGCACTTTAAACTGGATGGTGCCTTACGCCGATGTAAATCTCACAACTTCCATTCTTCTATACCCAAGTCCTCTTTTGCCTTAGAATTCTCAGTAAAGTTTTATAGACCTTTATAGAGCTAACCAGGTCCGAAAGTGATGCTTTTGGTCAATTAGGTCAATCCTCAAATGGTTAAAAATCTACTTTGGTTTAGTTTATGAAGATGTTTTTAAAAATTCAGTTGTTCTTTAGACTTGCCAGGGATGGATTTTTCCACCAGACTATGAAAAGAAAGTTTCACGATGCACAGAAAAAGAGAGAAACCTTTTTCATACAATTTTTTAAAAACGTGTCTTAATTCTAAAACGTTTCTCTACCGGGCCAGGGCCTTCTGTCTCATAAATCTGTAACTGGGACAACATTTTGATTCTGTCCCTGATGGCTCAGCACAGCAATGTTTGGGATCTGTCCCATACAAGCACTGTGTCAACAAGATTGTGTCTTTGTTACCCGTAGCTGGGCACAGATTACATCTGCTTACATTTTATTCTCTGTTCCTGGAGGCTCTCACTAGGGCCCAGCCGCTTTTTCTGAGGCTGGTTAGTCTCAAAAACTGTGTTCAGTGCAGGACAGGGTAATTCCACACAATTTCATGTGTAAAATAAAGTCTTTCACAGGCTTTCGAGGAGATTTTGTATGCTCTCCTGCGTGGATCAAAAAGTAATGTTTCTTCTTAATGCACATTTCCATTTCCCCCAACACATGTATTACACTTGATCTTGTAGGACCATAAACTAATCTGTTTGGTCGTAAGGCAGCTCCCAAGTCAGGGGCCCTCTCGGTGCCAGGGGCCGGGATCCAGCAATAAGAATGAATACACGACATTGGCTGAGGGTTTCAGAGCGATTTGAAGCGGTGCTCAGCCAGAAGTTAGCAGAGAATTTGAGGTTAGATTATTTCCATGGGCACAAATGTGAAAACATCAACTTAAGTAGGTCGGGCAGTTTCCTTCCGATCGGAATCCTGGAAACATGCTTCCTCTCTGGAGATCAAGGAAATCCAGAAAGCTCTCTGTGACCTGTTCTGAATTTAATAGCCTAGGTTTTTCAGGCAGCAACTGTGAGTTCCAACAGGGCGGGGCCCGTGTTCTCTGGTTCATTGCTTTACGCTCAGCCCTCACAGTCGGCATCATTCATGGTGATGGAATATTCACACGTGGAAATAAAGGTTTGGCTTTTATCCTGGGACTGGTACGTAGCTCCTTTAGGATAGGCGTTGGCATCCACTTGGCTGGTTACTGTTGTTCAGCATCTGCCTTGGAAATATCCTGAAATGATTAGCTTCTTGGCAAATTCTACCTCTATTCCGATTTCGACATTAAAAGTACTTTGATGTACAGGTTAAAGGCAAAGACTCAAATTTTAAACTCCACTTGGGTTGAGATTTAGCTCTGCCACTTAACCAGGCATGTGAACGTGAGCTGGTTTTCCAGTTTCCTTATACACCAGCTTCCTCTTGCAAAAGCCCAGGGAAATAATTATACATCATTCACAGGGTTGCTGTGCTGAGGATTAAATGAGCCAAAATATTTGCAAATGCCTTGGAACAGTGCATGCCTGCCACATGAGTGCTAGGCCTCTTGACTAGTATTATTTAATAAGATTTAATTTGTATTTAATACAGTATTCAATACAATTTAATTTACCCATAATATTTACCTGCCCCAAGTCAGCTGAATACATACTCCCATGCTTATGAGTGCCAGCATGTCCTCACACACCACCCTAACCGTGGTTGCTCGGTACCACATGATGAATGTTTGGAACTGAACTAAATGGCCTTTAAGAGCCTATGAATCGAGATGTTCACGTAGAATGCTTCCTTCCGTCCACAGTAGCGTGACCAGCTGACGTGGCACAAAGATACTGGCAATCAGCTCCCAGATTCTCACACAGACCAGAGCTCAGACCAGTGGTTCTTCCCCAGGCCTGTGAATCAGAGTTGTCTGCGGAGCTTGCTGAGCACATCGAGGGTCACATCCCTTATGAGGCTATGGTCAGAGCATCTCCAGGGTGGTTCACGGGTGACTGAAAACCATGGGGAGAAAACAGTGGCTTGGATGCCGCCCGGGCAGGTCTGAATCTCCTCTGCACTGAGGATGCCACACACTGATAATTTTATGAATAGAGGATGGCCCTCAGCCAGCATTACGCCCTTGGCCTTCTAAGTTCCTTCACCTGGAGTTTTCTTCCGTTGTAATCCTGGCGGCAGCCTAGCTTAGGAAGGAGCAGAACCATCTCAGATGCATCTAGTTTGCAATTGTCACAGGTAATTCAAGGAGTGTAAAAACTGATTCTAAAGGGATCATAATAGAAAATTTAAAAAAGCCATAGCAGTCAATGCTCTAAATAATGGGACCCCCCCCCCCCGATACAAGTCTGTTAAGGAAAGGATGACTCGTAAATGGTCTGAGACACTGAGAGACGCATTAGGAGTCTGGCTGGCACACCGGGATAAAACCTAGTTCATTGTTAAAATGCTGCTTGTCAGGGCACTGGTTCATGCAACACCACCTTCCCAGTGTTGACCTGTATCCCAGGCTTACAAAGCTGGCTGCTGCCTCTGGAGGGACTGGACCATCCGTAGAACTGGGGGCGGGGCTGGCAGCCCAGGCCCTGTGGTCCTCCCTTCAGTAGCCTCCTGACTGAGGGAACCTCGCAAGTTCCACCCTCCCCGCCCTCCCCACCCAGCTCAAGGTCAGAGCTCCTGAATGACC